ACAGGGTCTGACCTGGCTCCTGTTGGGAATAAACATGCCTGAAGGCAGCCTGTGCTCCACCGAGTCCCGACTGCTCCGGTCCAGAGCTGCTGTTCTGGTGACCCGTCCTGGAAAGACACAGGCGTGTTGTCCACAGGCTCTCTTATCCCTTCCTCACCTCGTTCAGGGGTTCTGACACCCCCGGGCTCCTCTTCATTGTTGTGGCACCACTGGGCTCCTCCTCCTCCTTATTCCGATACCTCTGTGCTCCTCCTGGTCAGCCCAAGTCTTTGGGGGGGTCCAGGCGCTGGGGCTCCTCCACCTTGTCTGCCCAAGTCCTCTGGGGGTCCAGGCACTGGGCTCCTCCTCCTGGTCAACCCGAGTCTTCGGGGGGTCCAGGCACTGGGGTTCCTCCCAGAGTCGAGGTCCAGGAGGAGTTTCTTCCCGTTGGCTTCTCCCAGATCTTCCAGACTCCTCAGGCCCGGGCCGGGCTGGGAGGAGGGAACCTTCCTGGTGTCCGACTGGGAGAGAGCTCCGATGTCGGGGGGTCTGTCCTTCCTCTTGACTTGAAATTTTCCACAAATAATTCGGTAGCCTGATACCCCCACTCTCGCTCTACCCAGCAGATACCCCAACACCTGCTGCTCTCATCAAGACAATGATCAGCTCACCTCACCTGACCCTCCTCTCTAATTAGATTCCCTCTTCTGGGTTCGGCAGTCTTCTTAGGAGCCCACCTATTACCAAAACACAGGGATTTATCTGTACAGTGAATAACTGACAGCACCACTGAGCACCCAGTGCAGTGATTATTAATACCCAATACAGTGAATATTAGTGAACACCCAGTGCAGTGGTCATTACAGTGAATACCCAGTTGAGCAACTATTAGTTAACACCCAGTATAGTGACCGTAATAGTGAATATGGAGGTCAGTTATTATACTGAATACACAGTGCAGAGATTACAGTGAACACCCAGTACAGTGGTGATTAATACTCAGTGCAGTGATCATTACAGTGAATACCCAGTTGAGCAACTATTAGTAAATACCTAGTGCAGCGATTATAACAGTGAACACCCAGTATAGTGACTGTCATAGTGAATATGTTCAGTTATTATACTGAATACACAGTGCAGAGATTACAGTGAATACACCGCATACCCAGTAAATTGACTATACTGAAAACCCAGTACAGCAGTTGTCCCTCAATGAAAACAGTTCAGTGATTAGTACTGTATTTTGAATATCCAGTACAGCGATTATTATACTGAACACCCAGTATGGTGATTATCCCAGTGAACACAGTACAGTCATTGTCCCTCCTAATGAAAACAGAGTTAGGAGATTATTATACTGAATACCCAGTACAGTGTCTGTCCATCACACAGAATAAGCAGCGCAGTGAACAGCCAGTAATCTCCTATTACAGTGAACACTGGGTCAGTATGAGCTGTGCTGCCCCCTGCAGAAGACATGTCCTGAGGTCCGAGTAGACGGTAGTCTCACCCTCCCTGGGGACACCCCGACCTGGTGTCTAAGAAACAATGGTTCTGACTGAAGCAATCTTATTAGCAAATACACTCTAATGGATTTTAAATGATTAGATCTCCCCCTGAAGTAAGAAGAAACAGCACACATCTACAGTCTGGGTGTTGATTTAAAAGATCAGCCTGTAAAACAAACCTGACAGGACTCAGCTTTCAGGGAAAAGCTGTGGAGTGAAAATGACTCAAGACAGAGAAACAGAACTGAGAACAGTCCCTCTGTCTCAGCTACACTCTCTC